TTCATACTTGGCAATTGCTGGCTAGGGAAAATGCTCTACTTTGCTGCTTGAAAAACTAATTAGAGCTCCAGAGTCAACCTTAACGGTTTAGGACCTCGATACTTGGCGGAACGCCTACTCCCACCAAGTTCTACCCATGTCACTCATGTGAGTCAGGAGGTGAGGCTGAGGAGTCTGACGCCGAGGGAGGCCCAGAAGGAAAAAACAAAAAACTGGGCCTTTTCGGCGGTGGCTCCTCGCCTCTGGAACTACCTACCTCCGGAGATTCGCGCGGCCCCCTCGCTGGGTATCTTTAAAAATCAACTAAAAAGTGGGTGTTTTGGCAGGCCTTCCCTCCAGTTGATCTCTAATGTCTTCCTTTTCCTTTCCTCTTTGCCTTCCATCTTGTTGGATTTGTTTAATATGTAATAATTCTTTTGCATTTATTTGATTATTTTATGTTGTAAGCCACCTAGAGTGGTCGTAACTGACCAGAAAGGCGGGATATAAATAAAACAAACATTGGTTCAGATAGGTTTGTGGACTTCTTGATATTTTAGTGTCAGCACATGACTGTGAATGAGTGATGTTTTAAAGGTTGACAACCATTTGGACTTGATGAGCCTTGAGGTTTGTTCCACCTCTAACATCTTACGCTTATATGTGAAAGTTCTATTAGCGGTTTGTAATTCAGAATGGCTTGTTCCTGTACCTGAAAAATAAGTGTGTCTATATTCCTTGCCAATTGTATCTGCCAGCTGATCGAACAGTTGTGAGAGCCAACCAATCTGTAGGAGGCCAGTACTCTTCGGGGAATGTGCTGTTTCTTTGCTGAAAATCTGAAACTTGGAGGAATAAATTATCCCATACATCTCTCTGACTTCTTGCAGTTTCCACAATATATTTGCAAAAAGCACTCACACAAAAGGCAATTTCTAATTTTTATTTTGGTAGCAACATCAGCTGAACAGAACACCTTATTTGTATAAGGCTTTCTGTCATTCAGTATACATCAAGATTGGTGAGGACAGGCTATGCTACAAGTTGATAGGGATGTGAATTCTGTTTTTTTTTTAAAGTGCAAATCCCATAATTCTTCTTTATGGGAGTCTTACCTTCAGGACCAGACCTTATAGTCACATGCATTGTGCTCACCTGGAGAGTAGGAATGGCTGGCAAGCTTCATGCCTTGGATAGGCCTAATTTCCTGCTCGAAAAGGAGGCTTCCCAGCAATCACTGGGGCAACTTCCTTTTCAAACACGAAATTAGGCTTCTCTAAGGCATAAGGCCTGCCAGCTGGCTTTCTCTTGAGTTTAGCACAATTTAGGTGTCTGTAAGGTGTGGGTTCTACAGGTGGGGCTCCTAAAAATAATTATGGGACTTGTGTTCAAACAATCCAAAATGCTCATCCCTAAAAGGTGACAACAGATTAGGCAACAATTAGAATAATAATCCAAGAGTGCACATACCAGTATGTTTTTACTGTTCAAAGCAATATTCTGTTGCTATGAGATGCAGGTTGTTATATAATATACACTTAAACTTAATCACTTATGCTTTGCATATATATAAACAGGTACCACATTTGCATCTTGCATAAACAAGACTCCAGTTCTACACTCCAGTTCTAATGGTGTCCATTTCTCTATATCAGCTGCTACTGTATTACTGCAGCATACAGAACTTGGAGATTTCTTATGGTCTAAAGTTCATTAAGCAATGGGTAAAGTGCAGACAATACAAAGTGAGAGACAACGGCTGAATATTCAGTAGTAATTTACAACTAGAGTGAGCCCATTGACTCAAAGGAGTTCATAGAGTTGACTTGCTAAATCCCTACAGACTGAATGAGTCTACTTTAGCTGCAATTTACTACTGGATTTTACCCAAAACATAAAAGTAAACAGAAGCAAACTTCTTGGCTGTGATTCAGCTACAAAATGCATAGAGCACCACACAGGAACTTTTGTTAAATAAAAATTTACTATGCTGTCTTTCCTCACAAAACAAGAAACGAGGAATATGGTCACTGCGGGTTTTTAGAAACTTTATCTAAACAACTAATTCCAGAAAACACCATAGCTGTGTGAAAATGGCCCTTGAAGAATAGGAAACAACTGTCTGAGACTTAATGAACTCAGTATTTTTGCCTTTTTAAAACTAATGGCCCTGCACAAATATGTGGAGATTTAAATGTATTAACAGTTTCATGTACCATCCTCTCTCCCATCGAGTTATGACTTAGACAGCATCACTTAATAGGTTCTTAGTAAAGCTCCAGTAACATTCATGTTCCTCAAATTTGTCTCCAGGAAATGGAAACATCTGAAATATGTGCACAGGTCGCTGGGCTGAATCACAGAACAGAAAACATAGCAGTGGCTGCCTGAATCATTTACTCTGAACTAACTACACGGAAACATAAAGATGTACAGCCTTGCTGATGTCCATTTTAGCTCTGCTAAATTTCCCATGCCTGAACCTCACGTGGGAACTGGTTTCTCTAGGCACATGAAAATGAGCAGGTAGCCACTGGGCCACAGCTAATATTTTTTGCCTTCACTGGCTTACCACCACAACCTAATCAAAAGTGTCTGTAGTTTCCCCTCTGGTGTTATAAAGACTACTTGCCAGCACACTGGGTTCGGGTCAGCTGGCCAGATGCAGAAGCAGACAGCTTTCTGAATTAAAAAGGCAGAAAGTGGACTTTCATCTGAATCCCACATCTTTTACAGTCTAAGCACAGATAACAAATGACCATCAGTTTGAATGATACAATGAAAAGTTCATTCCACATTTATTTATAGCCAGTGCTGCTACTAATGCGCCTTTTCATCTTATCTTCCTCGCACACTACCAAGGAATGTAGGAAACCCATGTTGGCTAAGTATTTCAAGTCTATTTATGATGGAGCTGTTTTGTTTCCTTCCTCCTGCCCAGCACCAAGATGTTAGCATAAAGTATCAAAGCACTTTGTTTCTTGTACTGTATATCAGTTTAGCTAAGTACCGGTAAGTAGCAAATAAATCCCCTAATGGGAAACTGACAAACATTAGATTGGCTGATATTCACAATGTACCTCGGTCAAAGCAGTAAGAAACAGCTAAGTATTTTGCAATTTCTGAGAAAGATATTGATGAATATGTTGAGCTAAGTACACCATCTGCACCTGCCATTTAGAGACACCCTCCTAACAAGGTTGCAGTCTGGTTTTTTTCTGTTACATATTGTGGGTCTGTGGCAGGTGCAACCATACACCTCAATTACTCTTTCTCTTGGGTTATCTACAAATACTGTAACACAACACTCAGTACACATTTAATGCTATTTATGGGCTTAAGCTGTATGTACTGGCTTTAAGAGACTGGTGCTGTTTTTCTTCTGTGAATTGAAGAATGATTACCACACATTACATGCTGCTAAACAAGGTGCCCAGTGCATTCAGCCTATTATCTTCAATATTCCTAGTCACCTTAGGCCAAGGATGGGCAATATAAGGCAATGTAAGCTTAAGACCAAATGAATGCTGGTGGAAAGTTTTGCAGGTATGGATACGAGGAGATCCCTCCTTATTGTAACTCTTGAGATATAACCATATATTAGGATTTAGCAAATACATTAATGTATGAAATTAGCAAATGTACCTAATGTATTAAAACAGTCAGTGGACTTTTCCGCTACCATGTATTATAGCTAAGCCCAATGTATTGTGGGTAACAGCCCTTATTTACAAAATGTGAAGAAAGGTAGGTATTCTTGCATTTTCCCTGTAACAAACAAGGCCACATAAAACAACTAACATGGGCATTCTGTCTTTCAAGAAACAAGTTAAGGACACCCTTGCCTGAGAAAGTACAAGATTAACTCCATCCATCATATTGGGCAGAAAAAAAAAGTTGGAAATCGAGGTACCTCCTGTGCGAAAGATTACTTGAAAGGAAAAGTGGTTTAATTACCTTTTATGAGGCTTTGTGTAACCATCTATGAAAGCTACCCTATGCATTCTGGAATTCAGACTTCTCTGACATCTTAGAGTTTGTAGATATTGATTTTCCTGCTCTCATTAATAAATTAATAACCTGATACCTCGCTTCTACATATGCTTCCTGGTAAGTTTCTAAGAGAAAGGTTTCACAGAAGCAGATCTTGTAAGTAGAAGAACAGATGTGGAACAAATGACTGTCTTGTACAAATTTAGAAATACATAAGATAATTACTACAATATTGTTTCACATTTTTAAGTAATGAAATTTATTGGTGCACGTTCTTTACTTCACTACTATGCCTTCAACAACATATCCATATAAAATGCACTCACTCTCTCAATCTCTTTCAGTCATACATAGTTGGCTGCTTCTGCCCAGAGAGACCTTATATATTAGTTTTTGAAATATGCATGCTGCTTAACAAAGCAGCAAAAGATTTACTTGTTCAAACACCTACATGAACAAGCCATGAATGTTGAAATATTGTTGTAACCAACCTGCTAAAGAATCACTGCAGTTTTCACTATGTTGGGCCAGAAGCTTTTCGCTTCGTAACAGCCATCTACTATAGCATCTGCCAAAATGCCTAAATTTTATAGCCCTAGATGTGATTGGATTTCTAATTAAAAAGTGCACACAAATTCGGACACAATTAAGAACAAAGTCAAACAATGAATGACTTGTACAGATTTTAAAGATTTATGGTATCTGAACAAGTTTAAAAGCTAATGCCTTTGCAATGAATCTTGGAAGAAAAGATTATAAACTTGCATAGGATTTAAAACCTAATTATAAAATCACTATAACATATAGACCTAAGGTATCACTGTAGCAAGAAATCTCTTTTCCCTCAAAAAATACAATTGCTGGCATGTGTGTATGTGCGTACACATGTTGAAAACCAATCACTCACAACATACTTTTCCCTATCTAGCACCCTGTAAAAACTGAAATCAAATTTTATTTTCACTGGTGTTCGTGAAGTGTTTTGTCCCTTTTAAATAGGTTGCTTAAGTTTTTAAACCATGACAGGATAAAACACACATTACATTTTATTAAGTGTAAAGCAATGTACAGGCTAATTCTTTTTTAAAGTGCAACATAACAGAACATGTCTGCAACATTCAGATTTCTCAAATTTCCAGAAAAGGAGGAATTTGAACACGTAGGCAGAACAATTAAATATCCACAAATGAAAACAATTTTATCTGACCAGGTACTTCTAGATTGTCCTTATTGTTAAGTGCCATATGAGGCAGATGCTCACAGCTAACAAAGTAACTGCAATCCCAGTCATAGTTTCACATCCTGCCATGTCCATATTTTACATAGAGAACTTCTGTTATAGAAGGGTGGCGTATAGCACTCAGCTAAAACACTCTTCAACCATATTTACTGAATCCTTTTACATGTACATACTCACTGCAAAAATGGGAAGTGGTTTGCTTCAAAATAAAACCAAAATCCTTAACAACAGAAAAGTTTTTAAAAACCCGTTATCAGTCTACAACCAGCATACCGCAGATTTGGCAACAAAAGGTGCCACTCCATTTGGCACTGACCAGCAGGTTTTATAGCACGCCCTACACCAAAGACTCAAGTACCAAACTTGTTTACTACTTGAGTATTTCAGGCTTGACATCAAGTTGCTTTATAATCTCTTGTGTTCCTGAGATAAGCAGAATGAAAGGATAGCTCTTCTAAAGCTGCCATGAGGACATGTTATGAATCCTTATTTCCAATTTCTGTGCATCAAAGCTGTTTCAGCTATCAGTCCTCTCCAAGGCGCCACTTCTGAGACTCTTCCTGACGCACGTCAGGCCTGATTTGGTTTCTCATGCCACCTAAAACATTTGAGGTTGCTTCTGTGGCAACTATCAGGGGTTTCACTACAGTTGGTGGAATCTGGCGAATTACTCCTCCCAGTGCTCCAGTGACGCCTCTGTTCTCATGTTCACGAGCAGCAGTTTCATAGATGGTATGCGCTGTATCCGTAATACCCTGGAGAAAGCCACAAATCACACCAGTGAAAACCAGTTCAGGGAGGTCAGTAGTCTTCTAAGCCTTGCAAGACCACACTGAGTTCCAACACAAGTGCAAGCCTCCTTCCTATTAATCACTGGAACCAAGCAGGCCTGATATTGTCCGCCCACAGAGCAGTTTACACAGTGAATTATCTTCCAGGGCAGCTACACTGACCAATTATTTTGATGGTCTTGTGAGCAGCGTAAGTGCAGACAGATGCTTTCCAAAGAACAGAATGCAATATGGTGCCATCTGGAGGCAAAAGATGCCAATCATGATTTTTTAAAATCAAAATTAAATTGATTTTTGTTCAATTGTTCATTGCAACATACAGTAGCTTCTGAAAGAACAGAGTTTTGGTCTTCTGTAGAGTTATATTTTCATTTTGTTAGGTTTAAGTGTTTTGACAGTTTATTTAGATTTTAACAAAACCTCACATCATCTAGAAACACTGAAACAGCAGAGAACAGAATAGGAAGAAAAATGAGAAACTGAAGCTGAAGCAAGGTTATTATGTGAGAATGTTTTTTTAAGATGCTGGAAGCATAGGGGCTAAGAGAGAAATGCACCTGCCCTTTTGGGGATAAAGGTATGCAGCCCTGCTTCCTGGCTAAAATTCTGAGAATCTCCCAAAATCAGCTCTGCAGAAGCACAAAGCCCACAGGTGTTAACTGCATGTCCAAGCATACTGCTTGTAAATATTAAACCACGCCTCCTATAGAGCTCTTGTTTATTATGAGATGCACGTGCCTGGATACTATTATCTTTACTTATGAGATGCACGTGCCTGGATACTATTACCTTTATTTACCTTAGTGGCTATTAAAGCAGCAGACTTACCACGAGTGCAGGAAAGCACAGCCCTGTCTCTTTCTTTCTGTCCATTTTCACGTCTCTCCTACATGTGGAGGGTGATCAGTTTGAGAAGCTATGTATGTGAGCTGGGATGCTGATTTTTCCAGACTTCTGATTTACATGGAGAGTCTCTATGGACAATGGAGGCTCTCCTGTTCAGACTTCCTTCTTTTCATGTAGGAGAGCAAAGGAACCAGAATTATTTGGGGGAGGGGAACTAGTGTGTTCCCCTCTGTCCTGTGGTAAGTGTATCTGCTATAAGAATGACTGAATTGGATTTGCCTGTCTTCCATGTTAGAAATCTTTTGGATAAATGCAGTACAAATAACTGAAGGACAACAGCACTTTCCTTACCTCTTTCACAACACTGTATGCTTTAGCCACTCCTTCACGAAGATCTACAGGTTGATGAGCCAAGTGAGAAAGCCGCTTGATCTTTTTTGTTTCTGTTAAACTAGGTCCAGGAGAAACCATGTCATAAGCAGTTTCTGCAGCTGCCTAGGTGCCATTAAAAAAGAAAAATGAAAAAATATTAACACAACAGTTGGTGGGCCAGTAAAGAATCACAGATAGGATTATAAAACCTTTGTGGTATCATCCTAAAATTATGATGAGATGAGCCCTAAAGACTGAAAAAGCACTCTCCAGTTCTCAACATATAAAGGTAAAGGTTCCCCTTGGCAATTTTAGTCCGGTCGTGTCCGACTCTAAGGGACAGTGCTCATCCCGTTTTTCAAGCCGTAGCGCCAGCGCCTGTCCGAAGACAGTTTCCATTGCCACGTGACCAGCGTGACTACGGAACGCCATTTTACCTTCCCACTAAGGTGATACCTATTTATCTATTCACATTTACATGCTTTTGAACTGCTAGGTTGGTGAGGAGCTGGGACAAAGTGACGGAAGCTCACTCCGTCGCGTGGATTCGATCTTACGACTGCTGGTCTTTTGACCCTGCAGCACCGGCTTCTGCGGTTTAGCCCGCAGCACCACCACTCAATGGTAAATAAGCACTTACAAAAACTTCAGTGACAAGGTCCCTCTGCTCTATTTGATATAAGCCACTGAATTTAAGCCCATGTGCTAAGAAAGAAAGAAAGAAAGAAAGAAAGAAAGAAAGAAAGAAAGAAAGAAAGAAAGAACTAGTCTTCCCTTTTAAAAAAAATCTCCAAAGATAAATATAGAATATACCTGTATGGTCTGAACCATTCTGTTTGTCAGTTCTAATGCTGCCATAGCAGTAGAGGTACCAAAAGAAGCTGCTCCTCTCTGAAAGCCTCTTACAATACGACCATCTTTTCGGTACTGTTCTATTGGCAACCAGACCAGGTCCTTCAGACCCTGCACTGTAATTAAAGAGAGAGTGCTGTGAGTGATAACTCCTTGCACTATGTCCTTGTTATTTAAGCAGCCAGAAAAAAAATATACATGTTTGAGATGGTCAAGCAGTTCCAAATAAAATCAAGAGACTTTAAAAATATTATATGAACTTACCTAATTGGACTAATGAGTGCATTGGTCCAACTCCTCCTAGAATACCAGGCAGCTGGTTTTTCTTGATGTCATTAAGCCACTCTGAGATGGCATACGAGAACAGCTTATCCACACCTAGCAACCTGTAGCAATTAGATTTATTAGAATATATAAAAGCAAAGTTCATTATCTGAAAATTAAACTATTCCAATATGAAGGAGAGATCATATCACTTGTTACTGATAAAACCAGTTAATTGCTTTGTATTTCCTTCACAATACATTTAGTATTCATGATAACATAACAGAGTGGCTGAAATCCTGTCATGCAGCTCTACGCCATGTTAAGGCTGTGCAACAGGACTTCAGCCAATGGGGAAAAATGGGTATTTTATGAAAATCAACACAAAAACAAGTGATAAAACTTACCCATGCCGATAGCAAAGCCTCTTCAGTTTCAGTTCTGAGCAGTTTAACTGAGCAAGACCAATCAGAATTCCAGCTAATGTACCCTAAAAATTTAGAAAGTCAAATTCACTTCTGATTTATAAGCAGCAGACTGGGGTGGAATAGAGGAATCCTCTCATCATTTTAATGTTGTTGTTTTTTGCATTATATAAATATCAGACCAAAATATATCTCTCTAGTGAGACCAGAGTAAGGCTTTCCACCTGAACACTGACAATGTGTTGAGTTTTTGGATGCTTTAGCCAACTCAGACAAAGTGATGAAGTATTAACATTCAGACAACTACTGGGGACTCTTCACTAGCATGGGATTGTCCTCCTAATAATTAGAGATGCACTAAAGTATCCCAAAGTCTAAACACAAATCTGTGACTGACATGTGGCACCAGAAACCCGTGTCTATTTGACAGACACCTATGCTGTGGTAAATCTTGCTACAATTATCCCGGAGGTCAACTTGATATCTCATTCTCCATGGGGTCAAACAAGTCCTCCCAATACAAGGTTACAGACCTGTTCTATTGCACCCACAAAAACATGGGATTGGGATCATGCTTTCAAGGAGCACCAAAGAGCATAAAAGAGCTATCTATCACAGCCAGGTGATGGTAGTGAGGAAAACATAGAGAAAGGAGATGCACATGCCTTTAAAATTCAGAAGATACTGCCACACATGGAGAACAGACAATGTGACAAATAGTTAATATGACACCTCTTAGTCTAACTAGAGCCCATTCAGGCCCCTTATTGTACATGCCACTCCTGTGTATGTATATGTTTTTCATCTTGCTCTCAAATTCTACATGTAATTCAGTGGTTCCTAACCCTCTCAGGCTACAAATGTGGGAGGTCAAGCAACCAGAAAATAGTAATGTGTTTATTCCACAGTAGCAAGTGGTAATCTGGTAATCCTGCCTGTGGCAAATACCCTGCTTCCCTGAAAATAAGCCCTTGTATGATTTTTCAGAATGCTCATAATATAAGCCCTACCCCAAAAATAAACCCCAGTTAAGTGAAATCCCGCCCTCCACCATTGTGCACCATTGTGCAGCAACCAGAAGATGACATGACTGTAAAATAAAACATCCCCTGGAAATAAGCCCTAATGCATTTTTGGAGCAAAAATTAATATAAGGCCCTATCTTATTTTCGGGGAACCTTTAACAGAAATCTTTATATAAATTGTTAGTTTGTTCTTTCACAACAAAAATAACCGAAAAGGGTATGTGTGTGTGCAAAGGGACTGGTGAAAATATATGTGGGTTATTAATTTTTGTGGCCAGTTTATTTACACTTTAGCTTTATTTTCAAAGAATAGATAAACAATGTTTCATGTTTCCAAAATAGAAAGACTGACACATTGTCATGAAACCACATCACTAATTAAAAGGAAGAAAGAAAAATTACAAGACAACTAATTTTATCTGCCACAAAAGTCAACAAACCTGATCCATAGAAACATGTTTGCCATGGTAATCAAGACGTATTGGGACTTCTGAGGTGAATCGAAATTCTCTAAAGAGGAAGAAAAAGTAGTATGAAGCTAAACAGAAATGTTTACAAAAACTTAAAAAAATGGGCCAGGAAACAAACACCAAACTCTATTTTGAAAATTTAAAAACTGAAGATAAAAATGTTACAACCCTGAACACCATATATCTATTACATCATTAACTTCTGGATCTTTGCTAAGTGTTCAAATTGCTAGGGGTTTTGAAAGCTTCCAGACTTGCCAATATCAAAAGGCATGTTCTTCTTCTACTTATCTTTTTAATATTTATATTCAAAATGAGTCACTTATTGGATAAAACAAAGTGCAGTTCTAAAGTGCAGCGAGCAGATACTTGTTAAGACTGTAGGACAGGGGTCAGGGAACTTTTTTACCTTTTACCCCACCCCCAAAAATTATTTACGTTGACATTACCCCCCTTTGGCTCTTGCCATCCGCAGCCAACCCCCGCCCCGCCTCTGTGCTTGCCCGGGACCTGTGGCCACCATCCGGGCAGCCAGTCTGGAGCTGCCACACCGCTGGGAAAGCGCGTCCTTGGCGAGGGGAGGCGGGCGCTGCAGGTCCATTGGCCATGAACTCAGGTGAGGCGGGGGGGGAAGGGGGCCTCCTCACCAGCGCACTGGGCAGGTGGGCGCAGGCAGGAAGGAAAGCCCTGGCCAGGGTTCCACCGGTCAGAGTCCAGCTGGCCTGGTATGCCACCTTCCCCCCCCCCACTTTGGAGGCAAGGAGGACAGGTGGGTGCCCTGTACAGTTCCTCGCCAAGGCTCACTCTTCCCATGACGGAACGCCCACCTACACACAGCATCATCAGAAATAAAATGCCTGGGGATAAAATGTCTGCCGTGACAGTCCTCATTACCCCCAGGATTTTCATTTTTACCCCATTTGGGGTAATTTACCCCTGTTCCCCGACCACTGCTGTAGGAACTGTAGTGAGGAAAACAACCAAGAGTCTTAGTGGTACACTGGAGACAAACCAGTTTTATTTACCCCAAATTTTTGTGAACAGCCCATCATCAGATGCAAAAGACTGTAGCCTCAGCTGGCAGTTGGTAACACCAAAAATGCATTCAGAGCAGGTACAATAATCCATTTACTAACCCTACTAAAGGCAGCAAGATCCAAAACAAAGGGGGACACCATACTCTAAGACTCTATGTTGTTAGTAAGAATTAGCTAGTAGGCTAGTTAGCTTTATTGTTTCATGTGTGGTGGTGTTTTCTTTATCTATTATTTACTTATTTTCTAATTGAATTTATTATACTTAACTGGCTTAAATAAAATTAAAATCCTACAACATGATGTGTTTTCTAGTGTGTGTTGGGGAAAAGCTTGGTTCTGAATTCAGTGCCTCAAGGCTTGGATTGACTACACTCAAACTTTCTCAGAATTATTCTAAATTACAGTTTGGCTCTGATCTGCCTCACAGGGCTGGCTCTGGCTCTGAGAAAAAGAATGTTGCTGGACTTGTGGCTTCCTGGTGCAGGGACTACAACTGCTAGCTGACTCAGGCTCCTGGGATACAACTGGATTTGTCTGAGCACCCAAGGGGCATTCAGAATGACTCTGCATGAGTGGTGCATGGACTGCACAAAGGCTTCCTGGTGGCAGGCTACCAGCCATTTTAGAAGGCCAAGTGCTCATGTTCATCACATTCACTAACCGTTAATATGGTTAATACTGCCTTGCTGCAATTTCAAGCAAAAGCAAAATTTATTGTGAAAAAACGTTCATCTGAAACACTTTTATTCATTCCATGCCTAAGTATCATGACACTGTAGCCAGCACTGAGTTAGTTGGAGCAGTAATTAATCTCCAAAGATTAAGAGTCTTCTAAAGAAAGGACGTTGCATAATTAAGCAATATCCATTAGGTAGTATGGCTAAGTAATGGAAGGTGGATGGAGGTTACGCTTTCAGCTATATTCCATGACGTCACAAAAAGTCCTATCACAGGCATAACTTAACTCCTTTAAGCTGTCCATAGGGGACATGTATGAGGCCCTTAGATACAAATGTGTGTGTATGAGTATATGCAAGTGGGTACTGCCAGACACACAGGATTCTTATTGTAGATTACAGTTCACAGAATGAAAGAAGGGGACATACTTAAAGATCTCATGGTCTAAGCTGTCACAGGGTACCTGAAAAAGATTGGCTGATCACTGAATGACGATTCTTCATGTGTAAAATTGTGGTCATCCCCATTAAGCGCATCCACAGAATCAATACTTCCATTATGGCTTGACTGTTTGTGTAATGAGAAAGAAATGACCGGGCTTGGCTCCTTGAAACTGCTGTGGTGCCTGGGTAATGTGCACGTTACTTCAGCACTAGGAGGCTTTTTCACTGCAAATAAATTAATTCATGCTGAAATCCAAGGCAATGAAATAGTTACCTGCATTCAATTGCTGTCAGGTTACATATTTGTATGAATTCTCAGTAAGTATATATGTTACACAAAGATATAGTATAATGTATGTCAGAATATTTACCCTCAGGATCTGGAGTCATTAGAACTTCTACCTCTGTAGACAGACTAGTAAAGAAATCCTTCAAGAAAAACAGGGCATCCTACATCAAAAGTGAAAGCATGAATTAGTTTGAAAGAAAAAGCAGTCTTCTCTGTTATCAGTTATGAGAAATATTGTTCACGACACAATTCCCTGGAAGGAAAACAGAAAACGTACAGTGCTCTGTCATATTATAACATGGCAGTAACAATTACCTGTGCAGCCTGCATGCTTTGAGCTAGGGCAATTTTGTATTAAAATCTGACCTGAGCATATTTTTCCTAGCAAAGACCTGCTGGAGAATAGCTTTTCACCAAGCTTCACTGATAGCATATAAGTATTAATGCAGCTCAGAAATGGACTGTATACCACAGGATAACTACAGCCTCTCCATCAATTCCTCACTAATCTTTTATATGTGCAATGTCATTAGAGGACAAATAATATAACAACTTAAAAATATAGTACTGTACACTATTTTGAGTTTCAAGAAAGTCAAGGAAGAAGAAGGTACATTTACGGGTGTAAAACGGGGTTTGGATGAGAATGGGACTCTACAGCTCTACTGAGAATCTCTACAACTCTACTGGGACTCTACTGAGAATGGGACTCTACAGCATAGAAAAGGCTGAGGCTATACAAAGATGCTGGCTCACTTCCCAAGAGCTGCCACTGACGTATATGGGTTAAATTAGTAGTCTGACATCTGGAACAAAGTCCAAAGGAAACAAAATTGCTTGTTGCCCCAAACACTGGCTTTTTGACTTCAAAATTTAGATCATCTTGGCATGGCTTTGTATGAATATAACTCTTTACTCTCTGCTATGCCTTCCCCTCAAAGTGATGGGAAAAATCAACAGCTGCATGTCAACATACATTCACACCTAGTGCAGGCAGTTTTTTAAAGCTGTGTGCATAGAGAAACGTTGCAAATTGTCGCCATTATTGAAGTTAAGGCAAAACTAACCTCCCCTCCTGCCAATTTGTAGCCTATTTAAATGAATGCAGATTATCTGCACACAAAATACATTTTGTGCCTATCTCCAAGGAACTCTTTAAACATACCCTGCCCTTGATTATGAGCATTTTTGAAGGATTACCAGCAAGACTACGTCAGTAAAAAGACAGAGGAGCAAACAGAAAAGAGATGACTTGTAAGCTGTATATTTTCATAGTTCTCAGTTTTAAATGATCTTTCGAACATTACCTGCACTCCAGAAATAAGCTTCGTTCCTCTACCCAGGAATGGTATTGGGCCAATAAAAGCAAATTCTAATCCAATCAAAAGTTTTATGCATAAAATAAATTCTATTAACCATATTATTGATTAGGATTATGGATGACAGGTTAAGAAATTCATCTCCAAACAAGTGTTAACAATAATAATATTAGTAATAGTCATAATTATAAAATAAGTAATTTGAACATCAACTACAGCACTGGTTCTTAACCTTGGGTTACTCAGGAGTTTTGGACTGCAACTCCCAGAAGCCTTCACCACCAACTGTGCTGGCTGGGGTTTCTGGGAGTTGCAGTTCAAAAACATCCGAGTAACAAAGGTTAAGAACCACTGATACTAGGCTTTTTCCCTGTAAACTAATTTTTTGTAAACCAACCTGGTCAATATTGAGGCGAAGTGGCATTAACGAGACTCGTAAACAACACTCTTGGGGTGATCTGCCCGACTCTGGACGTACGTGCAATGCTTTGACTGTCAACTGAAGCACAAAATGCCGAAAGGAGACGGAAAGATTAGTGAAGAGGAAAATGTATACGCTAATTGTTTTATAAATATATAAATAATGTTTAAGAAATTTTTACTATTTCTTTTCTTCAGCTTACAATAAATACAGACATTTACACCTAGTACAGGCAGTTTTTTTTAAAACTATGGTCATAGACAAATGTTCTAAATGTTGCTATTTCTGAAATGCACATGAATAGAAATATTTTCACAAGAATGTATGTCCCTCCTGAAATGCCACACAAATCAATTCTGCAGATATTATGTGCTCTATTGGCAGGGCAGAAATAATACACCATTACAGATGTTGTCTGTTTCAATGTAAGTGTAAGAGAAAATATTCCTAATATTTTCAAAGCCCCCAAATTATGAAGGTCACTATGATCCCAAACCTGATTAATTTAGTGACCTGTAACAGTTATTGGGATAATCTGAGAAAAACACATGACCTTGAATTATGTAGCCCCTTCCTAGTAACACTAAAATATTTAAGTTTTGTATTAAAGCAAAGCAAAGCAAAGTGTGCTGCTTATATACTGCCCCATAGCACTTCAAGCACTCTCTGGGCGGTTTACAAGTTAAATATGAAGGCTTCACATTGCGCCCCCCCCCCCACAAGCTGGGTACTCATTTTACCGACCTCGGAAGGATAGAAGGCTGAGTCAACCTTGAGCCAGCTACCTGGGATTGAACCCCAGGTCGTGAGCAGTTTTGGCTGCAGTACAGCGGTTTAACCACTGCGCCATGAAGCTCTTAATAAGTCATTGCCTAAAATATAGTAGCATCACAACTAGAGTAGGCCCACTGAACCAGGTATCTGGTAAGTCAACATATGTAAGTTCCACTAATTCAATGGGCCTACTGTAGCTGCAACGTACTACTGGACCTCAGCCATTATCTGCTTTCTTCTTGGTATTTTTGAGCATATCATCCGGAGCAGCAGAAGTTTCATTTAAATACACAGGCCAAAATGCTTTTGGAAACAAATTGCCCCACGTTAAACCACTGTATACATTATTAGTTGCATGCTGAGTCATACAATTCAGCATGCGACTGATAATGTCTACAATAGAGATGGGGGTATTCATATTTGAATATCCCCGTGCAGCTGGACTTAATGAGCGTCTGACCCCCGTGGCCAGATCATCCACTCACGTGTCTACCAGTGGCAACAGCCCCACTCATCCTTCCAACTGTGCCTGGAGCACCACTCTCTTCCCACTCAGCTAGCCACTCCAGACAGGGGGAGGGTGGACGAGTCTCCCTGCACTGCTGTCCAGTGATCAGCTGAGTGGGAAGAGAGAGGGGCTCCAGACATGATTGGAAGGATGAGCAGGGCCACCAGCAGATGTGTGAGTGGAGGGGGACAGCTGCACAGGGATAGTCATATTCAAACAACCCCATCTGTAGTCTACAATGACTTCTTAAATTGGGGCAATTTACTTACACAAATTATGCTCTTTGTGCCACGCCAGGTACAAGTAAGAAAGTCCTTTTGGGGAGACAGGCAGGATAGAAATATTTTAAATAAATACAATAATAAATAAGAGCTTTTTGGCCATTGTAAAATATAGACTTTTATTTCTGGATTTCTTTTTCCATTCTCACCAAAAGCAGGGACAACTCTGGTAGATTAAATAAAAGCTATGCAAGTATCTTGTCCAAATCTGAGGGGTAGGAGGTTCAAGCAAGATGTCTCACAGACCTCTGCATATCTATCAGGAAGGTCTAAAACGGAGTGTTTTAAGTGTGCTCAGTAGACCCAGTTTACAAAAGTTCTGAGGTCAGGAACTTGGCATGCCGCTCTGCAAGTATCCTATCCACAATTTTGTGTAACTCATGTTGCAGGAAAATGCCTGCAGAGAGCTGTAGTTGTACATAGCTATTTTAACCCCCTAATTCCCATATTTATAAAATTCAGTAAGTCATTGTAGAGCCTTACCATGTTTGAATGTGCTTTCCTAGGCATCTCCTTACTGCTATAGAGGTAGAGAAATTTATTCAGTTGTGATGTTGCCAAGCGATCTCGGATCTCAAGATCTTGAACTACAAACACTTGACGAGACACTGGTTGTTCCACAAGATGAACTTCACACTCTGGCTCACTTGTTGGATAAACTTCATGCTGGAATTTCACCTTATGAAACCAGAAATAGAGAAAAGGCAAGGATTTTGTTAATGCTCACCACAGTTTGTATAATATTACACACAATAAACTCAACAAAACTCTGTTTTAGTAAACCATTGGGTTGTATTTAGAAATAATGAATAGAAAAATGTCTGTGTCTGATTCCAAAACAAAAAACACTAGCTGATGGGGGTATTCGTAGCTCTTTTCCACCAACCCCAGTAAAAACTTCTCCTCCTGAACTTCATTGTATTTTCAGGTAGTGTAAACTAGGAAATGCATGTCCAATAAACAATCAGTTTCTCATTTGCCATTAGAATATTTACATCCTACACTTTCACTTTCATTATACCTTCAGGTTTGCTGGAATACCACCACCACAAGAACAATTAAACACTAAATCACGAACAGCACTAAAATAGTAAAAGAAAAAGTCACACTTGAAATGACTTATACAGCAGAACTATTAAACCCTGGCGGAGTATTCTGAAAATTTGGAAAATTTTAGAATCTGGCTCTGGTGCACAAAGAAGTGTAGTGGGAGGCGGTGTGAATAAAACAAAGCTTAAGTATACATGACGTGGCACCACTTGTAAGCATTTGTTTATCTTATTTACATGTCACCTTTCTCCTGATAAGGGGACTCAAGGTAGCTCAGAGTATTTTTTTAAAAAAAAGAATTAAAAAGACAGTAAGATATACATTAAAATAAACTACAAAAATTATTAAAATACATTGAATAATTTAAAACAGCTGAAGATTTCACAGAGCTTCTTTGGTTAAAAATCATTAAAGTTTGCACTCATGCTAACAGAGCATAAAAAAAAACATGTTTGGCTTGGCAAATCACCCTCATGGGGAAAAATTATTCAAGCTGATGTTTTGAATAATTTAATAAAAAAATGAAGGGCCAATAACCAAAACTCTTGGTATGCTCAAGTGCTAAATGAAGTAGTTTTATATTAAAAGGTGGTAGTAGCTTTTGTTCAATTAAAGCTGAAATAATGTTAAACAACAGTTGAACACATACTGGCTAAAATCTAGAGCAAGCCTCCTCGCCATTACAAAGGCTACACTGGGTCCCCTTCCTCTCTGTTTATCTCTGGTATTGGAAAACGCTAAGGACCGGTTACATTGCTTAATGATCTATTTAAACCAAATAAACATTAAATAATAATTTAGGCAATGCAGATTCTCAGGAGTGAACAATAAAAGCAAGCATTTAGTCTCTTACCTTGCTCAACTGTATTTCCATCAAGAAATCTGGGTTCCTCCCTTTTCCCCCACAGGCTGTGGTACGCCCATGCCTTGTCGGCGTGTGAGAAGGAGAGCTCTGAGGGCTACTGCAGTAAAGAGGATGGAGGTTACATTTTTTTGGCTCATAATAACCACTCACTCAGTGCAATACAGCACAGCTTGCTCTACTACACAGAACCTCACAAATGAGTATTTTTCTTAATGAAAGGGGAGCAGAGGTTCTGCCACTCTTTCTGGAATACATTTTGCTCTTGAAAGTAACCAGATGGCTGTTTAGAGCTGTAAAGTCAACACCACAATCGAGAAACATTACATAGCTATTAACATAACACAAACTAGCTAAAAAAATCTTTTCAAAATTACACTCATGTCCTGCAAGTACACTGCCAACCTTTCCTCTCTTTCACCTTTACTAACATGATCTCCACGTTTTCAGGGAATCCTGGCTGAAAAAGCCAACCATGTTTGGGTACCTACTTTATACAGTAGTGCCTCGCTTAACAAGGCGGGCTGCACTTGCGCAGTGCAGGGCAACTCAAACATTGTATCTTTTCCCTCATAGCTCTGGAAAATTCCGAGAGGAACCAGCACAGGCGCTGTTTATCCCATCAGTGTGGATTCATAGAGAACCACGTTAAAGAATCAGTTCCAGCGAAATCGCTGTAGAGCGAAATCCGCGTTAAGTGAAATAAAAAATCCCATTGAAACACATTGAAAAGCAGTTCAATGCGTTCCAGTGGGCTGAAAACTCACTGTCCAGCGAAGATCCTCCATAGGGATGGCCATTTTCGGTGCCTGTAAAGCGAGGAATCCATCCAAAAACACAGCGGGCGGCCATTTTGAAGCAGCCGATCAGCTGTTTTAAAAATATTGTCTAGCGAAAAATCAGTTCCCGAAGCAGGGAACCGATCGTCGGGAAGCAAATTTTTCCTATTAAAACATTGTTTTGCGATAGCAAAAGCGATTGCAAAACAGTCATCGTATAGTGGTTTTGTCGTGTAACGAGGCAATCATTAAGCGAGGCACCACTGTATAACTATTATGCACTCACTCAAATGCAGTGGATGGGAAACATGACTGAGATAATGGTTATGCCTCCAATGAAATGGTATCCATGAAAATGTACTGATTTTTTTGAAAAAAGATTAGCTACCCAGCTCCAGATTTTGAAGTCAAATGTACACTTGCCCTGCGTAAAGAGAATGGATTGGTGCTTGCAGTACTTACATATAGCTTTTCGCTGGAGATGTGGGAGGTATATTCCCAAAGTCCCTTCCTCCATAAAGGTGCCAAATAATTGATATTTCTTTTACAACATAGCGTATCAGTGGGATAGGAAAACGCAAAGTGCCTTTGCTTGTGTCTGCCCTTTTTACTGGGAGGCTGAAGTGGTTGTCTTTTATCAGGATTGCATCGGCCACGAATGTTTTCACTACTGGCTCTTCTTCCTTCTCCTAAAAGATTTCAAGATATTAAGTGCCTTTGAAGTATTAATTAAATGATTCTATTTTTCTCACCCTTGCCCCATTAGATGTTTGCTTCAAAGAGGCAAGATTAGATTTTGCTTCAATCTGTATTTTAGTCATAGACATAAAATCCAATGTTTTCACTCTGCTAGAATGGGTTATGAGAGCAGAACAGAGGGTGATTCTCCACCTCCCTGCAGCCCTCAGAATCTGCTCTGGATATGGGCCATGTGGTTTGCAGGAGAAAGTGCAGTCATGTGACAGGATTTCCATGCATGTGTTGTTCATTTGCATTCTTAAGTCTGTACCATGAGATTAGTTCTTATTACAAAACTGTTTTAAGTTTTGTAAGTTTCAAACTACTACAATATCTACATAAAATTAAAATTTCTTACTGAGACAGCAGCTTTTGGTGCAAAAAGAATGCAGAAGTCATCGTTTTCAGAAGGCACATCTACAGCTTCATTGATTATATTGGGAGTGAATGAAGTGTAAGTAGGGCTAGGCTCTTGAGAGAGATTGCCACTTTCATCAGGAAAGAGGAAAAGGTCAGAACATGATGGTGCTGGTGTTTGAATCTTTTCATCCAAAACCCCTGGTAGAAGAGAAACAAAGTATGTGTATAGAAATGTTTTTCACGAAGCCTAAAATCTGCTACTAGATACTGGCTGCATTTTGATGTGAATATTAAATTACAGTTCTCTAATATGTTTGCCAAGTTGAACAAAAGCTTCCACTTTAGTTTTAGAATAGGCACAGTTAAGCATGACTTGAAAATCTTAAACTATGGTTAACCTTTATTAGTTAGCTGAAATAAACCATCAATGTAAGCTATGGTTAACCTTTATTATAGTTAGCTGAAATAAACCATCAATGTAAGCTATGGTTTGCAGTTCTGATCTGTTTCAACAATAGAAAAGATGAGCCTGTTTTCCTGGTTCAAATATGTTCAACTGTATTTATTGTGCAAGTTATGAACTTCTCTCATAGCTGTACCAGAGAAGGAGGAACGCACAAGCCTGGGAAAAATTAAGTTCATTATAGCAATGTTAGCACATGTCTCTACATAATGTCCAGACAACACCTAAGAGACTGACTGAAAACTGGTAAGTAAACCCAATGTGTAGATACTACATATTTTAGGGAGATGACTAAATTCTTCTCAGAGAACTACAATCCACCACTGTAATGAAAAGAAGGGACATTCTGTCTGCCTTGCAGCCTCATCTGAATCTGTTCCAGAGGGTTTGGGGGATCCTACACATACAAGTATAGAGCTGCAGAGAATGGAGATGAAATGGTGCTATTGTCTGAGTATTCCTGTTCCATAAATATAAAGAGTAAAATGTCAAGCTTCTTTATAAGGAAATGTAACTGAGGAACAAAAGCTTTTGTTCTAGCTGTGCTAAAGGAAATCTATCCATAACACTGTTTGAAGTAAACCAAATGCTGGCAAGGTTTTTTTGAAGGGATTCTAATTTCACAAAATATCCAACAATGCCACACTCAATTCTGCAATCAGAAATCCCATTTCAGATGTACTTTGTCTCTGCCTTTGTCTATTGATTTAATACATTTCCACAGCATCTCCTGGGAGATAAATATGATATATCGATCTAAAATAAATTACCAAATAATGTACTTTGAGAACTGCCCTTTACAATATGTGCCTGTTCCATCCATTCAGAGAAGTTTTCCTTCATGTTCCACCCACATGCAAACAGCAGTTCATTCGGAGAAGGCTTTCTCAACCAGTTCCTGCCAACCTAGCAGTTTGAAAGCATGTAAATGGAGTAGATAAATAGGTACCACCTTGGTAGGAAGGTAACAGCGTTCCGTGTCTAGTCGCACTGGCCACGTGACCATGGAAATGGTCTTCGGACAAAATGCTGGCTCTATGGCTTGGAAACGAGGATGAGCCCTAGAGTCGGACACGACTGGACTAAATGTCAAGGGGAACCTTTACCTTACCTTCTCAACCAATAAGCCGAAGATCTGCAACTCCCTTTCTAAACTGAACTATTTCATTCCATCTCTGCTAGGCTTCCAACATGGAATAATAACTTGATTTTGCTGTGAGGCATTTGATCTGTTTATTGCATAAAGTAAATTATTCTCCAGTGTGGTGCCCTCCAGATTCAAACTTCCACAAGCCCCAGCCAGGACTGTCAATGGTCCAATAGAAGTAACGATAAGGGAGATATACTTCAAAATATCTGGAGGGCATCAAAGCTGGAAAAGGCAGGTATAAGGAATAAATGATAGATCTATTATTCTGAACAATACTTACGCAAGATGTCAAGATTTTTCTTAAATACTAGTAGAAATCTAGATTAAACATGCTATATACTACATGTATCATGGTGGAACAATTATGTGAAGTTTTGCATTTAGGTTTCAAAGTTTAAACTGTTTTAAAATAGGAGAAATCTGAAAAGACCTACCATTAACTTGTGGTTTAGTGGGGGAATTCAGTTGCTGAGTTTCAATTTCTTCCATAGCATCACTCATTAAGTCCCGTAAAATCTGTTGGTCAGCTTCAGCAAGAATTGGCCCTTGGGAAGATGGCCGACTAGAAACATCTGCCTAAAAGGATTCAAACGTGCAAAGAAAATGTAGCACACCCTTGTGGCTGTGAAACTTAGAATGTGAAACTTAAAATATGATATACAAATATTGTTTCCAATCTTTACAAAGGAGACTTAGTAAAACCTGTTCATAATGAATAACTGAACCAAAGCACAAGCAAAGACATTAGGTATACTTGCCCCATGCAGCAGGTCAACCTATGATCTCAGCTGATGGTGTCAACTAACTGAATCGTGGCATTCAGTTACTTATTTTCAAACTAAGCACATAAGTGGAAACTTAAAGTTGTTAGCCCCATCCCCATCCAATATCTGTAACACCAGTGCTGACTGCTTGCTTTATTCTGGCAAAATGATTACATCTGAAATAATCAAGAACATGAATTGCTTAAGATAAAGAAATGAGCAAGGATCAGGTGGCAGCTCTAAAGATATTTACTGGCCAGCATCCTGCTGGGATATTTATGTGTGTAAGCTAACATTGTTCAAGCAGCCATGCGATTTGGCAAGGGGTCAAATCCAAGACACATAGCCAAATACTGTACTACGTTATTTGTATATGCAGACATCTCTAACAGGACACTAGGCTTTGTAAAAATGTTATATTAAGTATTCAGCAAAACATATATTGCCAGTGCACAAAAATCTGTCAGTTCCAAAAGCATTACATATTCAATCAACTAAGTATTTTGATACAAGAAGGAGAAAGAAGTACAAGACAGGGAATGGGGGTAATAGCAATAGGGCTGTTTCCGTCACTCTTAAAAATGTCTGAGGAAGTGATCTTGTCCATGAAAGCTCACATTAAAATACAACAATTAGTCTTTAAGGTGCCACACTTTTTTTCCTATTTTTTAATTATTTATTTTTCTTTTCTTTTGCTTGATACTCTTAAAATTGTTCTCCATAAAGTCCTTTTCATTCTTTTGTATAGAACTACAGAATTCAAAAGTAAAGATATCTGGAAAAGGAAGTGGCAGAGATGCATTTTCATACCGTAGCATTTTGTTTGGTCACTCCAGAGGTAGCCTCCATCTTAGCAGGTGGATTCAAATCACCATAACTTGCAATATACTGGATAAGATTCATAAGGGCAGCACAGGAGTCAGAGCAGGTTCTAATGTGGATCACGTCACTGGAACAATGTAGTTCAAAGCGTGGCTTACTCTATGAAACAGAAGATAAGACTGACTCCAACACAAGGCCAGGACTAGATTAAGTGTATGATCAAAGAACAAAAATCATGCTTTCAAAAAAAGACTATTTGGGTTGGAGAATTCAAATCAATAGCAGCCCTCCTGCAGTGAAATTTCAGCCTGATCCTATACTCATTTATTTTTAAATCAATCCCATTAATTTCAATGCCATTGTCCCTGAGTATGCTCAAACACATGGACTCATTTTATCATGCTTTTTAAAAAATGAAGATGTTAACTACACATCATGTTGTTTTTATATTTTATTTTAGGTTAAATCCTTACTCTCTCTTCATCGGATCCAGGTTTCACTGCCTTTATAGTCAGTTCAAGGAGTCCCATGTCCATAACTTGAACGTAATCTAAATAAAAGAAAATTTATATTTTTATTTTATTTATTTATATACTGCCCCATTAGTGCTAAGACTGTATTCATCTTCAGTGCGGAAGGGATTGTCACTCTTGAATTGGTCTTCTCAGGCACATTAGACACTGTTCCAAGTCCTCCATGCAGAGCACGTTACCATAGTCTCTCGAGACTGAAGGATGCCTAATCTAATCTAATCTAATCTAATCTAACCTAACCTAAGTGCTAAGTACTACTCTGCTCAGTTTACAACAATTGTTTCAACACACAGAACTAAATAATAATTTAACAAAAGAGAAGATATTAATAGATAAAAGCAAATAACACCAAGAACAATTATCTAAATGATGGGAGCAAAACATCAAAATCAAAGCCTCCCTGAATACCAAATTTTAAGTTGTCTTCTGAATGTTAGCAGAGAGGGCACCAAGTGTAGCTCCACTGGGAGATGGTTCTATAACACTGGAGCCACTGCAAAGAAGGCCCAATCTCTTGTGGAGGACTGCTAGACCTCCCCTGGAGTGGCTACCCAGAGGAATTTGGTCTGGGAAGCTCTGGTGGATTGGGCAAATAGCACTGGGGAAAGCTAAACTGCACAAGGCTCAAGCAAATACCATATTTTTCGCTCCATAAGACGCACCTTTCTATAAGACACACCAAATTTTTAGGAGAAGAAAACAGGAAAATATAATCTGTTTTCTTCGCTCTATAAGACGCACAGACTTTCCACCCCCATGTTTTGTGGGGAAAAAGTGCGTCTTATGGTGCGAAAAATACGGTAAGTAGTAGTCAGCACCCCGGAGACTTCCTCCACTGTTACAGGGCCAAATTGGACCAAATGGAGAGAAAGGATTCAGCAGTGGTCCCCACCCAGTCAACCAAACTGCCAGCAGAGTCAAGATCAGATTGCTAGGCCTCGATTTTAGATTTTAAAAGGCTGCAAACTGATCACTGGGTTAACTCACCAGGATGAGACCATTGCTGACCAGAACTGGTGAGGTGGGGGACCACCTAGAAGTTCCGCTTGTTAGATCACAGCCTCACCAATGATTGTACTACAGTAGTACCTCGGTTTGCGAAATGGGTCTGTTCTACACGATGTTACGTAGTATGGAAATTTTGCAAATCGAAATGCCAATTGCGCTACGAAAGGGGTGGCGCTATAGGCACAATGCGCCCTGGGAAAACCCTTTCATAGTGCAGAAAAAGAAAACAACATAAACCGGGGCTTTATTTCTTATGGATTTCAGTTCGTAAACCAAAAATTATGTAAACTGAGGTGTTTGCAAACCAAGGTACTACTGTAAAGACTTTTCCACCAATTTTAAGGCACTGTACACCTCCTGGTTACGGTCTTAACTGCAACCCTAGTTTGTTCTGACTAATCCTTCCTCCACCTGTTCTCTAGCCATCTCCTGGCTAACTTCATAGCTCAAAGCTCCCCAGTGAACCAGGGAGCAGGACAAGCTCTGAAGTGGGGAGGGTGTTTGGGAGCATACATATTAAACATATATCTCCTTAATTGTTGTTTATCTTTTTTTAAAGCAAATATATGAAATTCAATGAAGTTTCCCATGAATAGAAATGTTCCTGGTGCACTGGCACTCGCCTACATGTGCAGATGGCGGTGCACCGCCCGTGTGGGCACACATGTGCTGTGCAAGAGTGGACCTTTTCCACGGACCAGAAAAGGTTGAGGAATTCTGCTCTAGAAGACCATGAGACCACCTAGAGCAGATTTTCAAAGGGTTTCAGAGTAGAGATGGAAAAATCTCCTGTTGTGTTAGTAGACTTCTATTTGCTCAACCTGCTCTACTAGACTAGACTTCCACCTGCTTATCCAAATAGCTCAGTGGTTTATGTATCTGGCTTCCACCTGCTCAGCTGGATAGCGCTGTGGTTTACATATCTGGCTGTGAAGTCAGAGGTTGAGAATTCAATTCTCTATGTGCTTCTTTGACAAGGGCTGGACTCGATGATCCACAGAGTCCCTTCCAACTCTGAAGTTCTAAGATTATATTATTTCAGAAACACAAAGTTTCAAATGAAGTTCAGTTTGGTTGTTGTGGGTTTTTCGGGCTCTTTGGCCATGGTTCTGAAGGCTGTTCTTCCTAACGTTTCGCCAGTCTCTGTGGCCGGCATCTTCAGAGGACAGGAGTAGCATTCTGTGCTCTGCTGCAGTTTGTTTGCAAAGTTCAGTTTCTTTATTCCTAAACCGTTTTACCCTGCCATAAAAATGTTCTCTCAGCTTTAAAGTAATCTCTCCATTCCCCTGAATTCTACATAAACATCAGCCATACCTATGATGTTAAATTATTATGTTAATTATTTTAGGATTGAGAATTAAATGCTGTCCAATTTACGAAAATGAAGCAAGTAACAAAAAAAACCAACACAGCCATCCCAATTAAAACAAAACTTGTGGCATCTAAAGTACCATAGATTTATTAGAGCATGTGTTGCTCAAAATGAAATGTTCACATGCTGAGCGCATGCACATACACACGTAATTCAGTGTGTAAACACTGAGATCAGAAATAAATAACATGCACAATATACAGACTAGTGATAAGTACCGTTTTCCCCAAAAAAATAAGACAGGGTCTTAGATTAATTTTTGCTCCAAAAAACACATTAGGGCTTATTTTCAGGGGATGTTTTATTTTACAGTCATGTCATCTTCTTCTGGTTGCTTATTTTCAGGTTAGGCCTTACTTTGGGGGAAACAGGGTAAATAATAACAATAGTCATCCATAACACAGTCACTTGGTATAATTCAATCATTCTCACAAGATTTTTAGTTCTGTGGTCAACTTTATGGACATTTACCAATAAATGAAAAAGAGTGAATAGCGGCCCTTCAACGTACTAGGACAACAGCTCTCATCTCCCCTAACCAACATAGCTAATGATGAGGGCTAAGGGTAATTACAATCTAACAACATCTGAAAGTCCCCATCCTTGATAGGAATACCTTCTGAATCTGTTATAACAATGGAATCACGATCACTATAGAGACTAATGTACAGTTGGTAAGTATTAGAACACACTCACCTCTTTGGAGGTTGACTGCAAGAGTGTTACATTTGTCGGACAAATGCAAAGCAGCCTCATCCAAAATTATTCTACAGCAAAAAAAGGAGAGGAGGATTGTGTGTTGAGTACAAAAATGAGAGGAATAGAGACTACAAATCTAATTATCCTTCTCTAAACTTTCCCCCACACCCATAACTTTGCACTAGTGATTCTATCAATGAGGGCAGTTTTGAATTTGGTTACTATTGGTGAGATTTGCGGAGTTCACTTTCCCACACTGAACGCATGATTTGCCTATACGCCTCTTTTGAAACACAAATAATGGAAAGAAGCAAGTGCTCTGGATTCTTTTGGCATAAATTTCCTTTAAAGGCTAAGGACAAAGAAAAACGAATGCTATGCATTCCCAGAGCTTCGTGATAGGCATATGAAAGTTAAGTGATTGTTCAACTTACTCAAAACAATTTGTAAGGAGGATTTATCTTAAAAATTACTATCCTTTAAGTAAAAAAAAAACACAATAACATTTTTCATATAACAATGTAAAATTTCAGTTGCTTTGGAACCACCTTCTTCCCACAATTCTCTATTGCAACAACCAAATGGCACTGATAAAGAAAATGTTGCCCAAAGAAAGTATTCACGTCGTTTCTAGCACAACTTGTTCATGAAATACATAGCAGAAAAAGTAACAACATGAATATTTTTAAAATGTTGTCTGCTTTCTCCATGCCTTCTCCGCATAATTCTTGTGCTAACATTTCCCTCCCCACCACAGAAACTGCTTTTTACAAGTGTGAAGTTCAAAAAGTCTCTGGACGTTCATCAAGAAAAAATGTTCCAAGAGAAAAAGACCAAATCAAAGTTGTACATGTGCCAACTCTTATGCATATAGTACTCAAATCCTTGAATAATAGCTGAAATAAATTAAAATTTTAAAAAACAGCAGTGTGAGCCATCTATATGTCTTCCAAATTACTGCTGCACAAGCAAGTCAACACACATTAGCACCGTGGAATTTATGGGGTAGGAAAAGCCTGGTGAACTGGTGACACATCTTTTAACTTTGAAGTAATTCACACATAAATTAAACAGATAAAAAATTCCATTAGAAGTCAGAATTTCACCCACATATCTAGATTGGCAGCTGTCTAGATAGCAGTGGTTTAGGCATCTGACTACAGAGCCAGAGGTTGGGAGTTTGATTCCTCACTGTGCCTCCTGTGAGTACAGCCAGCCTGTGTGGCCTTGGGCAAGCTGCACAGCGCCCAGAATGAGAGAAGGGCAAACCACCTTTGATTATTCTCTACCTGAAAACCCTGAAAAGAATCGCCATAAATCAGAATTGACTAGACAGGATATGATCATTATTTTATCTAGTTTTGCAACACGTTCACAAATGGTGAAAGAAATAAGTATTAAGTGAAATACATTTGTTTCATTAAACGCTTAAATATTTACCTGAGAGTAGAAGATGATTTATCCAGAGCCACGCTACTTGAGATGCTAAATGTTTCAACAGTAAGAAGTGCTCTAGTTGGCAAAAAAAGAGGCCTGACCCAAAGAAAGAAACAAAACAAAATATATAGCAAAATATTAATTTCAATACATTGGTAAGAATATGACTTAGAATTTGAAGTCATGAAACATACACTTAAAGAACCAGAAAGCATTAGGTTTAAGATAAGAGTTGCTACAACTGGTTGATGTTCACACTTCATTTAACTTACCTATAATTCAGAGCACAACTCCAGAGATGGACATGGAATGTTGTGATAGAAGCTGGAGGATTATATCCCAAGACAGGCTCATCAGAAATGTTCAAAAAATACAAAATCTACAATTATAAGAGTATAAAAATAGCCTACTGTATTTCCAACATAGTAAAGTAATACCAACAATAAATCATTCACACACCTCATAATATACTGTATGTATAAAAGAAAAGGAAAACAGGTAATTTTTAAAATATTGTTATAATGGTATTATTTGAGTCAATGAATAGGATGATTTTTCTAGGTATACAGAATGGAGTCAAAGAAGGCAAGAGTTACATCTGTGGCTAATTCTAACTTTCAACTTACAGGACAACATGTATCTTACATGGGATCCAGAGATATCTTTTATAAGTAGAAATCACTTATTCTGTTACATTTACAAATGTTTCCTCAAAACCATTCCCATCCTTTTTTTTAGATGTTCATGGGACTTTAAATTTATTTACTTGCTTATTACTGCAAATCTCAAGCTTCCTCTCTTTTATTTCTTAGTGAGCCAGGTTTAGCGAAAATTATGTCAGCACTCAGCATCTGCATTTAATATTTTAAAGAGTGGCAAGAAGTGAAAACTTCTGGCAAATTAACATACCTGTTCATGCCAGCTTAAACCTGAAGGAAGTACTCGGTGCTGCAGTGTGGCTCCTCTCAGGCCAACAGCAACTAAAAATTCCTGTAAAACCAAGCAAACCTGTCTAATCAAATAGTTCAAATTGCCAAACTTATTCACTAAAATGTTTTATTCTACCTTATACTGAGAGCTCTCATGGTGGAATCTAACAATTACACAATTATATAAAGTTCAAAGAATTCAACAAGTTATAAAATATGCACATATATTAGGACCCCATATCCGCAGGTGACTAATTCCAAGTCTCCCCTCAGATGTTGAAAAGTGTAGATTATAGTGAACATTATAATAGCAGCGAACGCTATACATAACATGGTCTCTGGAACCCTCTAGTGGGCAGTTCTGTTGACCTCAGCATTAGAAACACATATTTTGGGGTTTTTTCTTTTAATATTTTCAGACCATGGATAAGTAAATCAGTGGATACTGATCCTGTAGATACTTGGGGTCCTATACAGAAATTCACAACCCAACAAATTAGAACAACCCCATACCGACTGGGCCATAAAAACCTAGGTAAGGACCCAGGTTTAACTTGGTCCAAATTTGTGGCAATTGTAAGTTTCTGGTGGCTTTAAAGCAAATATTTCCATTTTGTCACTAATAATAACAACAGTGTCTCAACACCATCATGATAGTTTGCATATCATATTTTAGGTTTCAAAGACACACTTTATAAAACATTTAATTTTCAACACATTTTGTAAGTAAAATCCAGCAATATAAAGAGCTAGTTTTAAACCCTCCAGACGTTTTGGAATACAATGCCCATGGAATCATTCAGCATAATCAATGGTGAGGAATACAGGAGACTAAATTCAAATCCATCTGGGGAGTGTTAGGCTCAGGAAGATTCTCTCAAACGGTCTGGGCAAGTGTTATTTAAAAGGCAGCCTTCCCTCATATGAGCCTGAGGTCATTAACAGAGGCCCTTCTTACTGCTTGCCATCAAGGGTGTTTAAGTTAGTGAATGCAAGAGAGAAGGTCTTTTCAACAGTGGTCCTGTGCCTCTGAAATGAGCTTCCAGTGGGATGTCATCAGGCCTCTTGTCTGAAGGTCTTTAAGAAAAACTCTGGACACGCATCTCTTCTTGCAAATCTTTTCTTATATTTGGGGAGATCAGACAACTATGGTCCAATCTGAAGTTTTGGAAAAGGTGGTGGCTGTCTCAACCCCTGGTACTCTTGAAGAAAACTGATTACTCTAATGCAGTTCAGTCTGGGTTCTGAAATAATTTTGTCACACAGAATCAAATTTCAACACAAAAAAACCCCGAGACTGAATATAAATATTAAAACACATATCTTAAGAGCTTGGGAGAAACTTTCATAAGGGTAACAACAACAACAAAATCAGAGACATGCTTTTTTACAGAAGGAAATTACTTTAGAAATACCAACCTTTGTATTGGTCTCTGACTTGTTTGATTGTATCTTAACTGCAACTGACAACATGCTTAAACAATCCACTCCCACACCGTCTGAGGATGCCTTACTGAGACCTTCTTCTTCCGAAAAAAAAATTGTAGGTTCTAACCAATGAGGATGTGTTGCACTTGGTAGCCTTATTTCAGAGGGAGACAAAACCCCTTCCACGACACCTAAAGCAAAAGCAATTCAGAGTTAGCCTATAGTCACACCAGCAAAATGTTTCCAAGTTA